TTTGACAACTCGTAAATCTGCTGAGCGCACACACATGCCCTTAAAATCATGTTCTTGGTTTCAAACGATTAGATGCATACGTGTGCGTGTTATATTACAATAAGTTTGGGCATGGTTTAAGCGTTACTATTTTTTACCGACATTGATTATAATTGGACCCGTTTACGCAAACAGGAACCAACCTACAGTTTGAGTGAAATTGAGTGTGGTACATTGATGGCGCTGAAATGACACTTTCTATCTTCCCAAAAATAAGCTTTCCGACGAATAAAAACAGAGATACAACACTGTCACTAATGGTACCAACCCACTTTGGTCAACTTTAAAAAAAGACAGAAAAGAACTATGCTGCATGGTTCGCTATTCAGTATCGAATTGAAGCGCTAAATAGACCCATGCCACTGATACCTTTAGGACCTAAGTATTTTCATTATGCAAAAAAATTCTAAAGTTGGTTGGTCCTATTTAGTTACTAACATATTGTAACTTTTTTGTGCCAAACGGAACTAATTAGCTTTGGTTCTTGTTTGTATAATGGAAATGCTCAGGTCCTGAAGGTACCAAGTGGCATGGTCCTTCTAATCGTTCAAATTTGGCACTGTATAGTGGAACCATACAACATAGTTTTTTCTTCTTTTAAAAGTTTGCTAAATTGGATTGGTTCCAAAAGTGACAGTGAACACTAATAATTTGTTTTATTATACCCTAAAAAAGTAGTCAACTCTGATTCGAAATTAATATTTTGATGATTAATTGAGACATAGTCTTGTAATTAAAAAATCCCTGAATCTTAAATTATGAAGGTTGAAACTACAGGTTACAGGTAGGTTGCAATTTAACTATTTTATTATGTAATATGTCAGAAGATAACATTTTTGCGTGTTGCTGATGACGAACCACTTTTGTCTGGGAAAAGGTGCTTATTTCTAGCTTCGACAATTAATAATGAAAAAGAATCAGGTGGAATAAGCAATAGCCCTCTATCATGTTCCCATTTAACGCCTAGATCTTCTGTGTTACATGCAAGAAAATGAGAACGTAAAGCTTCAAATGAAAATGCTATTGAAGATTTTGGGAAAAAAGTATAGAGCTGCCTTCCTATTCTCCACTTAAATCTAGAGTGTCGCAATCGCTTGCTAGCATGTTACATACACAAGTGATGGTAAACAATGCAGAAACATTTCTATATCCAATAACAACGAGCTAAAGAAAATCGGCACGCTGCCTTACGAAAGTTCAAAAAGAAGTATTAAATTACTAGGATGTCTTGTCCTTCAATCTCCAAAATCACATGGTTTAATAAAAAAAAGTATCCCTAACACTGACTGTCTATATTCCCAGTTGCGACCGATATCACTAGAGACAACTGAATTATATTTTATGTTCTAGCTGAATCTGTTGACAAATTATTATTTTTTATTTATTTAAAAAAACCAACAGCGATTTAACAATTTTAAGGACTTCAAGTATACAGCTTAAATGTAAGGCCTATTAAAGGTTTTTTCAGTTATATAAAAATAAAATATATTATAGACGGTACAATTTAACTATTCTTTGGATTTATTGTAATATGTATGTACTAATCTAATTATATATATGTTCACAGATATGTAACTAAATGTTTATACTAATTACTACTATACTATTTGTTAACATTGCTGAAGACAAAAAAAAATTAAAATTCATGCAAAAAAAATGTAAATCTATAAAGGCTTCTATATAACATAAAATGTTCTCTTGTTTATATATTGTTAAATGTACAAGCTGTAGATTTTGTTACAATAAAAAAAAATTACACTTGTGTATATGTGTATGTAGAAGTAATATTTGATTTATTTCTCTGCAAAACTTTTAAATGCAGCCAAATATTAACATTCTTTTATGTAATTTTATTTAATGAAATATGACATATCACACCTGTTTATTTATTTATTTTTCATAACCGTTACACTTATGTCAAATTTACACTCAACAATCAAGTAAGAAATTATTATACTAAATGATGCAAAGTATGAATTCATTTTTATATTATAATTGTTCAGTAATAAACCGCAACTCACAAAATTTATACCGAGGCACAATGATCTGCTACGATCGGAGCGCCGGTCACACCTAGTGGCAACATTGCGACGTAATATGCGTTGTAATAATCTGTGGAGTTAAAAAAAAGAGAAGAGGAGGGTAGGAGGCGAGACAAGCCATACACATTCTCTTTGTGTTCGTGATGTGAACATCTCTCCAAAAACTTAAAAAAGGGACTACTCCAGAGTGTACCGTGTACAATCTAATTGCTAGTGTATTCTACCGTGTAGAAGAAGCTACCAGGAGCTGTCAACGTTTGCTGATCTTGGGAGGCTGGCTAGTAAGACCGTGAGTAGTTTGTTGCTGTTTTTGGTGTGATTTTGTGACTGCGGTAACTGAACGTTTCAGGGGATTTAGAATCTCAATACAGTCCACTATATCTAGTAAAATAATCCCAATCCGCCACATTTCTGGTCCTTCGAGCCGGATATATTCGAATTAGTGATCTTCGAACAATAATTTTCTACCCTTAATTCGCGTCCCGTGGACGTCATATATTTGAGTAAAACTACGCATTTAATTAATTTAATATCCCTTATTTAATTTGCCTCTTTTTTACCTGGATGTCCATTGCTCGCGGTGCGTTTATAAAGTATTAATTTTGTAATTTGTTCATAATGTCGGATAAATTACAAATAAAAAGGCAAACACTTATTTTTAAAAAGGAATACCTATTTGCTAAATTACAAAAGGTTTTCGATATCGCGAGATCCCAAATAAATGATCCCACACAAATTCAGAATTTCTTAGCCGATTATTCCGAATTAGAAAGTGTCCGCTCAAAGTTTGAAGAAACAGTGTTAAATATTATTGAAATAGATATATCATTAAAACCGGAGACAAGATTGTCAACGCGAGAATTAGATACATTTGATGAACTTTATAAGGCATGTAGGTTGCAATATTTAAGATTAAAACCGGACGAGCAGGCATCCCTCAGTACGAAAGATAGGAGTGATGTAAGGCCGTTATTACCTAAATTACGTTTATTTGAATTCGATGGTGATATTGAGAAGTGGACCACATTCTACGATACATTTGTATCACTTGTCCACAATCGAGATTTCGACGAAATAGATAAGTTTCACTATTTGCTTTCATGTGTTAAAGGTTCGGCATTAAACATTGTTAAAAAATTGCCCATAACAGCCGCTAATTATACTGTCGTATGGCAAAGTTTATGTAATAAATATCAAGATGATCGAATACTCGTGGGTAGGTACATCGACAAAATGATAAACTTTACGCCGTTAAATAAAGATACTACCGCAAATCTTACTTTATTTATCGAAACATTCGATCACTCTTTTAAAGCCATCGAGGCATTAAAAATTAAAAATTTACATGACTATTTATTTTGTCATTTAGCCTTACGTGGGTTGGATGCGCATACTAGGAGGCTTTTTGAAGAAAATCGGGATCAAAATTCACTTCCATCTTTTTCGGAATTAATTAGTTTTGTAAATAAACAAGTTAAAGTACTCGAACATTCATCGAATAGTACGATGTCGTTACAATCAAGAAATAAGTCTATATGTAACAATTACAAAGGCAACAATAATAACCACTACAAAAGTTATTCAAAGACAGTTTTAAATACTAATGTGTCGAATTATAATAAAAATAAAAAAATAATTTGCGCGCATTGCAATCAAAATCACATGATTTATAGGTGCGATCAATTTCGTAAATTGACCGTAGATAAAAGGATTGACCGTGTCAATACCTTAAAATTGTGTCATAATTGCCTAAAAGGAAATCATGATACCTCAACTTGTAAAAGTGAGATGTCTTGTGGTGTATGTGCGTCACTACATCATTATCTATTGCATAAGGAGCCAGTGAGCGACACGCTCGTGCCAACATCCACCCGTCCATTGTGCTCTGACTCGCAAGTGCAACAAGCACTCGTCTCGTCTCAGGCTATGAGTGACTCAGAGCGTTATACGATAGATACGCTTCATTCCAATAACGCTCACTCGGGTTACGGTGTTGTATTGGGAACGGCGCGCGTGTTAGTAATTGATAGTAGCGGCCAGCTTCAATACTGCCGTGCAGTTATTGACTCTGGAGCTCAGAGCTCATTTATTACAACTGAGTGTGCTCAACGTTTGGGCTTACCTCGAAAGAAGTGTTCGTTTAATATTTATGGTCTCGGTGGAGAGGCTGTAAAAAATCACGGCATGATTACATGCACATTAAGGTCCCTACACACTGACCTACCTAGTTTTACACTGAACATGGTCGTAGTGACTAAGGTATCTGCTGATATGCCTAACGTTCGATTCCACTCGGACGTTATTAATAAATATAAGAATTTTAATTTAGCTGATCCATTATTTTATAAGCGTTCGCGTATCGATATACTATTGGGCAATGATATAGTTTCGGAACTAATTAAGGATAAACCTTATATTATTTCATCGGATATACCAAGCGTGATCGATACCGCTTTCGGGTTTGTTGTAAGTGGTAAACTTTATAGCAATGATAAGGACAATTTAAAAAATTATAATTTATCAGTCTCATTTGATGAACAAGAGTCTTTAGATCAAACGTTGCGTAAGTTTTGGGAAATCGAAGAATTGCCAAGCAAACCCTCGATTAATCCTTTGGAACAATTAGCGGAAGACATTTTCGTGGCTCGTTATAGTCGTACTGAGGATGGTACCTATTCAGTGCCGTTACCATTCATACCAGACCCGCCTCCGTTGGGCGCGTCACGAGCGGCAGCCGAGCGGCGACTCTTGTTCACCGAGCGCAAGTTGAATCGTTCACCTGTATTACGACAAGCCTATTCAGAGTTCATGTGCGAATATGAAAATCTAGGGCACATGGAGCTTTATTCGGGGGACACCCCAAGCAAATATGTGATACCTCATCACAGTATACTTAAGCCCAGTAGTTCCACTACTCCTTTGCGTGTGGTATTCGATGCCTCGGCTAAAACGTCCACGAACGTTTCGCTTAATGATATTCTATTGACCGGGCCTAATCTGTATCGAGATATTGGGGCTATAATATTGAATTTTAGGTTGTTTGAATATTGTTTGATTTGTGACGTATGCAAAATGTATCGGGCAATTAAACTGAATCAGTCAGATAGATGTTATCAACATATTTTGTATCGTCATTCGCCTAACGATGCCATTGACGTTTATGAATTAAAAACTGTCACTTACGGCTTAAGTTGCTCACCGTTCTTAGCTATCCGCACCCTCTTACAGTTAGCCTATGACGAGGAAGAACGTTTCCCACTCGCTGCAAAGGTTGTGCGCGAGGGCGTGTACATGGATGACATTCTATATTCTTGTAGTTCATTGTCACAGATATCTCGGTTACAAGATGAACTTTTAGAGATGTTTAATTCCGGTGGCTTTATACTCAAAAGGTGGGCGAGTAATAGTGCAAAAGTTTTACAACGCGTTCCGTTAGAAAACCGAGAGTGTCCTGTTACATTTATGAAAGATGGTAACGAATATTCAGTCAAAGTGCTAGGTCTGAAATGGTTCCCTTTGACTGACTGTTTTTATTTCACAGTAGATAAGACTGATAAAGTAACAACTAAACGTTCTGTTTTAAAATTATTAGCTTCTATTTACGACCCCGTGGGTTTTATTTCACCGTGCATTTTCATCGCGAAAGAGATAATGCAAGATTTATGGAAGCTGGGCATAGGATGGGATGAGCAGCTGCCAACTGACGTAACTAAGCGCTGGCTTAATTACGTTGATGATCTCCCTCGACTAACGGCAATCAAGATAGATAGACATATGCTGCTACCAGAACAGACCGAATGTGAATTGGTCGCCTTTTGCGATGCAAGCTCTCGCGGTTATGCTAGTTGTGTGTATGTGATCAGTCGTAACGATAGAGGTCAAACTAAAGTACGCCTGGTGACAGCAAAATCTAAAGTAGCCCCAGTCAAACCATTAACTATCCCGAGGTTGGAATTAATGGCGTCAGTTTTGTTAAGCAAATTAATTAGATATGTCCGTGACATTTTAACTCGTGTAAAAATTACTCGTATTACTGCGTTAACCGATTCGACTATCGTGTTGACGTGGCTTCAGACAGAAGCTTACAAATTAAAGCCGTTTGTTAGTAACCGTGTTACTCAGGTATGTGAAGTGTTACCTCCACACTGTTGGCGTCACGTGAGTAGTGAGTGCAATATGGCAGACATATGCTCGCGCGGAGCGTCTCCGTCACAGCTCGTGGAGTGCAGTGAGCAGTGGTTGAAGGGCCCATCTTGGTTGTACGACGACTATTCGCAGTGGCCAGTGAGAACATTTATCAACCAACATGAAAGTAATACACCCGAAATGAAATCAAATCATACATTAGGCTCCTTCAATTTAATCACAAATGAAAATAATTCGATAGAGGAGACTAAGTTAGAGTTCTGTGACCGAATCTTTTCCAATTTCTCTTCTTATTATAAACTGCAACGTACGTTTGCTCGAATATTGAGATGGTTCCGACTCAAATCCGGTCACTCGAAGCAATCAATACTGACGACTAACGAATTAAATACTGCCCAAGATGTTTTAATTAAATTAGTACAAAGTGCATACTTCGCAAATGAAATAAATAGATTGTCAAAGGGCACAAAGTACGTTCCGTCGTTGAGAAAATTATCTCCATTTATTGACGAACGCGGATACCTCAGGGTGGGGGGTCGAATAAATTATTCAGCGTTACCTTATAACGCGAAGCATCCTCGTTTATTACCTAAAAATAGTAGATTTACCTTGTTACTTATTGAATATTTACATAAAAAATATTTACACGTAGGTCCACGCACCTTACAAAACATTATTAATCAAAATTTTTGGATTTTAGCATCCCGTCGCATTATTCGGTCAGTTTTGTCCAAATGCAAAATTTGTTTTAAACACAACCCAGTGCTCTTACAGCCTGAGATGGCACCTTTGCCAGCAGCCCGATTGATACCTTGTAATGTTTTTGAGCATGTAGGGGTGGACCTCGGTGGTCCGTTCTTTACAAAAGAAAGTTTACGACGAAATGCTAGGGTTGAACGGTCATATTTAGCATTATTTATTTGTTATTCGACAAAAGCTGTACACCTTGAAGTCTTATCGTCGTTGTCATCGGACTGTTTCCTCGCGTGTTTAGACAGATTTGTAGCGCGACGCGGTGTGTGCTCCTTCCTTTATTCGGATTGCGGAACTAATTTCATAGCTGCTAGTAAGCATTTAACCGAAGTACAAAGATTTATGCTCGAACAAAAAAACAATATATTAGAGGGTTGCTCAAAACGACAAATTATATGGAGATTTAATCCCCCTGGTGCACCACATATGGGTGGGCTCTGGGAAGCTGGAATTAAATCCGCCAAGTATCTATTAACGCGAGCCGTAGGAGAAAAAAGTTTGACGTTCGAGGAACTCACAACAGTGTTTTGTAAAGTAGAAGCGATTCTCAACTCGCGGCCGCTTTGTCCGTTACCAGCTAGTGATAATCCTGATGAGTTCAACGTTTTGACTGCGGGACACTTTCTAATTGGAAAAGGGTTAACAGCAGTACCTGAGTATAATGTAGAGGATATAACAATAAATCGATTATCACGTTGGCAATATATTCAAAAATGTTCACAAATGTTTTGGCGTAGATGGAGTCACGAATATCTAAATACGCTGCAACAGAAAGCAAAGTGGCATTCGGATAGATCTAATATAAAAATAGGTGATCTCGTAATCATAAAAACTGATAATGTACCGCCGTGCAATTGGCCTTTGGGTAGAATTGAGGCTCTTCACCCCGGTCCAGATGGGATTGTTCGTTGTGTTACGCTTCGCACTCAAAAGAGTACTCTACAGAGACCAGTTAATAAACTGAGTCCTCTACCTTATTCAAATTAGTTTTTACGTGTATTAATATTTTTTTTTCTCGTTGAGGACATTCTGTGTCTCAGCGTTATTTTGCATGTTCCGTAGCTTAAGTTATAATATTTTCTCTAATATCTTTTTAATATAGTTAGGAGAAACCATCAAGATGGTTTCGGTGGGGGGTGTGTTCAGTAATAAACCGCAACTCACAAAATTTATACCGAGGCACAATGATCTGCTACGATCGGAGCGCCGGTCACACCTAGTGGCAACATTGCGACGTAATATGCGTTGTAATAATCTGTGGAGTTAAAAAAAAGAGAAGAGGAGGGTAGGAGGCGAGACAAGCCATACACATTCTCTTTGTGTTCGTGATGTGAACATCTCTCCAAAAACTTAAAAAAGGGACTACTCCAGAGTGTACCGTGTACAATCTAATTGCTAGTGTATTCTACCGTGTAGAAGAAGCTACCAGGAGCTGTCAACGTTTGCTGATCTTGGGAGGCTGGCTAGTAAGACCGTGAGTAGTTTGTTGCTGTTTTTGGTGTGATTTTGTGACTGCGGTAACTGAACGTTTCAGGGGATTTAGAATCTCAATACAGTCCACTATATCTAGTAAAATAATCCCAATCCGCCACAATAATACAGTTGATTTATGTTGATTACCATTTATTTATTTTTGTGTAGGGAGTCCTACTAGATGGAGTAACGTCCTGGTAAGACATATAGGAAGTCGACGGACGCATGCGGCTCAGAATCGTGGCTTTTGGCATTCCCTGGGGGAGGCCCACGTTCAACAGTGGACTTGTGAATGGCTATAATGATGATCATCATGATTAAGCAAATCAAAATTATTTACTCGTTTTGCACCTCATTTTAAATTTTAAGAACTTTAGCTTTAAAGGCTGGTTTACTAAAGACAAAGAGATCTATATCACTAAAGATCGGCCGACGGTGGACACGACGCGACGGTACGTTGTATGTTATGCTCGCCACCAACTCAGGGCAGTCTACGTGTCCACGGACAATATCATACAAAAAACATACGTCCATAAAGTTACGTCTGTTTTCTAGTGTCAATAAATTATAAGATTGACAAGTATTTTCATAGGTTACAAGTGGTGATTTGAAAAAACGATAATTTAGATAATTGATGAATTTTTCCTGTATGCGTTCTATACGATCTTTATAAGTAGCGTATTGGGGAGACTAAATTGGACTGGCATATTCTAATATACTGCGAACATAAGCATTATACATAATTTTAAGGCTATTAATATCTTTAAAAGGCTTGCAAGTTCTCATCACAAATCCAAGATTTTTAAAAGCCTTGTTAACATTTTCGTCAACATGCTCTGATAAAAGCATTTTACTGACAAAGTGAACTCCTAAATCTCTAACAGTAGATGTTCTTTGTATTGGAATACTGTTAAAATTGTAGGAGAATGAAATAGGGGTTTTTTACGTGTGAAACTAATACATTCGCATTTATCTATATTAATTGTTATGTTTTTAGCAATATAATAAGCTGATAAAGCGCTTAAATCAGTTTGCATTTGATTACATTCCTGCTCAGTACAGATATTGTAAAATTTTTTTTGTCATCGGCGTACATAAAATGTTGTTTAAACTTAAAACAAGTAGTAATATCGTGGATATAGGCGTTATACAGTAAAGGCCCCAGATGTGATCCTTGAGGAATGCCTGTTGGTATTTTGATAAAGTCCGATCTATATCCACCTATTACAATAGCCTGGGATCTGTTACTCAAATAGAATTTAATCCACCTGAGTAAATCCCCATGTATGCCTAACAATTGTAGTTTATTCAGTAAAATGACACGGTCCACACGGTCGAAAGCTTTTTCGAAGTCCGTGTAGACCACGTCTACCATCCATATTAGATAAAACATAGTTAGAAAAGTACGCCAGATTAGTGATAGTAGAACGATACCTTAGAAATCCGTGTTGAGTGTTTGGCAGTCCCTTACATATTACGGGATATATAACATCATAAACGGTTTTCTCAAAAACGTTGCCAATAGTATTTAATGATTTCTTATATTTACGCGAACACTACACATTTTTAAATAAAACTAATTTTACGGATTTTATCGCTTATATTAATCTTTTTTTATATTCCCGACGTTTCGGGTGCTTTCCAGCACCCATGGTCACGGGGGACTGAGGTGTTTGACGTCCTGCTGTCATAGTTAGCCCGGCTACCTTCAGTTTTTTAATATTAATTTTTGGTCCGATTTACGCAGAATGAGCTTACAGTATCTTGAAGTCTAGCAGTGGTATACTTGGGTTTGGATTTGATTTTATTAATTATGGGATCCCAAGTAGATGGCAGCACCCATCAATCTTCTCTATTGATATTAGGATGTTTTTTAATTTCAATAGCCTCGCGAATCATCCTTGGGAGGAATCGGTGTTCTTTTGCGAGGATTTGTGGTCTATCAAATGTAATGTAATGGCGGGGACGATCTTGAACATGTTCACAAACTGCAGACTTCCCGATACGGCGGTGCGGTTATTTAAAAATAGTATTTAAATTTGAAATGCCCCTATAATTTTCAATTTTAGTTTTAGTTCCCTTTTTATGTACAGGAACAATGTGTGCTCTTTTCCAGATATCCAGAAATACACCTTCGCTAAGAGACATATTAAGAATGATAGCGATAGGGACACACAAAGTTTTAGCACAGTTACGCCAAAATAAAGGGGGAATGCCGTCACATCCTGCTCCTTTGGAAACATCAAGTAGTCTAAGTCTTTTCTCAATAGTGGATGTAGGGATAAACAGTTTAGATATATTATCATATGTAGAAGTGGCATTGCCTTCTTCTAATATTTTATCAGAAGGGTCACCGAAAACGTTTTTGAAAAAAGTAGTAAAAGTATCACATATTTATTTACCACCCGTTACTTTATTGCCGAGGTATGATAATTGTTTTGGATAATTCGATCCACCACGCAAAGACTTAAAGTATGACCATAATAACCTCGGTTTGTATTTAATGGCTTCCTCGGTACGTTGAGTATATATTGCAAAGCAAGCATCCTGAACCCGATTTTGTCGTTTACGTAATAATGAAAACTCGTCATAATCTAATAAATTGCCAGACAGTTTCCATTTTTTGTGTGCTTTTGATTTTTCTTTAATTATTTTTATTAAACCGGGACTGTACCAGATATGGTATTTATATTTATTATGATAGGACTTAATTGGTACGTGTTGGCATATAGCATCATTTATTAGATTATAAAAGTTATCACAAGCCTCTTGGACCGTACTAGACTGTAATTGTGTTCGCCAATCGATGCTATTTAGAGTTTCATTTAGTTTCTCATAATTGTTTTTATTAAAATCATATTTAGGCTTAGATGCTTCAGTAAACGGTGTGATTGAGACGTCTAAAATTTCCAGTACTAACGGTGGATGGGGGCGGTCAACCTTTATAAGGGGCGAGTTGCAAATTGCGACTTCAAGTGAAAGATTTGAAAATGTCAAATGTAAAGTATTACCGGCATAATTTTAAAAACTGTTATATTGCTTGAGACCGAGAAAGCTCAGTTCATCTGTTAGCCACTTTTAATTTCAGCATTGCCTTTATTTAAATGTGTTGGGCCCTGAGTACTCCATGAGATGCATGGAAGATTAAAATCACCGATAGCTAAAATATTTTTACCACTACTATTTGAGATTACCACAGATTTTAGTGTTTGCAGTAAGTAATCTATTTCAACTGGAATATGTGAAACATTAAGAAGGATGTAAATCGCAATAATGTACAAATCTGCAGTAGCAGAAAATTGCATGTGCCGGCACTAACAACATTAACATATCAGGCGGTGAGCAGTTATTCAGACATTCAGTGGCTAAGGGAGTTGCACATAACTCATTACGCACTAAGATCATTACCCCGCCTCCTGTCTTTTTATCGCATGATAATAAGTCTCGATCACACCGAAAAACTTCATACCGATCGTCACGTAATTCTCCGTCGAAAATCCCGTTATGCAACCATGTCTCAGCTATTACAATAATATCATAATCATTTCTTAAAATCTGTTGTCTAATTGCAAACATTTAGTTCTCAGCCCCCGTGTATTTTGATAATATATCTATAGATCTTTACTTTTATTTAACGTATTGAACTTAGAACTTAGAATGCTACCAATTATTATTAATACCAGTTGTAAACACAACTTATAGTATAAAAGTTATTATACAACTGAAAAATATTACTAATAAATATAATATTTTAACTTTTTTAACAGTGATAGAGCCACGCGGCAGCTTTTGCTGTCGCACGAATGGGTACGGCTCGAACCGGTGTAGTACCACGACCTCACAGAAAACCAGCGTGAAGTAGAGGTTTACCTCTGCGTTTCGCTTGGTGAGTGCAGATGGCCGGAGGCCCTTTTTACTGGAAATGAGGCATTACATCTTAGTCCTCACGGGTGACAACGCATCTACATTTTGATTTATAACAAAGGATAGATGTAGATGTCTATGGGCCGCAGCAACCACTTACCATCAGGTGGACTGTGTGCTCGTTTGTCACCCATATCCTATAAAAAAATTGTTTTGTAAAATAGAGGGACTGAAATACAAAAAACACAGATTACAATACTGTGTACAAAAGTGATGTTGATTATAGGTTGACAGAAAAAAGCGATGAATACTTTTCGTGTTTGGTTCATTTGATATAAATATCGAACTAGTATAACGTATTATGTGTTCACCCTTTGTAAACCATGTATATAAATATGTGTTAATATTTAAGTTTCCCACTAATGTAAACAGAACGAATAAAATGTATAAATAAATCCATATTGAAAGTTTAAATAATGCATTATTGTTAACTATTTGAAGGTATTGTAAGAATTTATTTTTACGCTCCGGCACTAATGTTCTTTTAGCAGTGATAAATATAACAATGAAGTTAAAATGCGTTATAGGTCGATCACTATAAACAGGTGCGATAAATGATTTTAGTGATAACGTATATGTATAGAATTTGA